GGTAAGAAGGCCGCTCCCCTCTGGGTGGCAGTCTGGACAGACTCGGGTGGGAGGGCACAACCTGGCCACACCCAGGTGTGGCCCATGTTCTAGGTGTCGGCTGAGGCCCGCACCTCGGGAAGGAAAGGCTGATCTGCGGTGACACTGAACGCGACACTGAGCGCATCCTGACTAGACACTGCCAGGGCTGCCTGCGGCCAGCGGTCAGCATGGGTGGGGACGGGCGGGGACAAGGCGGCAGGGCGGCGTGGCGGTACCTTGGCTTCCCTCCGCCGGCTGTCCTCGTCCTCCTCGTGCTCCACCACGCCCTGGCTCAGGTTGGTGTAGTTGGCCAGCTTGTTCAGCAGGGAGGACACCATGGGGTTGCTGTCCATCTCCTCCTGTGAGGCGGGAAGTGCCAGGCACAGGCACGTGAGTCAGGTCCTGCGACACCCCAGGCCAGCAGGACCCTCTGCCCACTGCTGGCGCCGAGCCACAGGCTGCCAGGAGCCAGAGAGGCCCTGGTGGCCTGCCCAGCAGGCTTGAGTCGGGTCAGCACGGAGTAGGGCCAGGGGACCCACACCCACGGGGGGCCAGGGCCCTCGAGATGGTCTGGGCTCGGGGCTCAAAGGCTCCCAGAGGGCCAGCGGCCCAGACCCAGGGCCCCCGGAGGGCGCCTGGCATCTGTGTGCATGAGGAGTGAGGCCCGGGCAGGGCTGCCCAGCTTCTGCCCACCAGCGTGAAGAGGGGGATGGCCCTGGCCTTGGACCCGCGCCCATCGCCAGCCTGGGGCTGCTTTACTTTTCTGGGTGAAAGGCACTGCCCTGAGCACCCAGAGTTACCTCGAAAAGCGCCATGTTCTTCCCTTCCAAGTGACTCTCCCTCTCCAGCTCCACGCTGCTGAGGAAAGGGCTGCTCTCCCTGGGGTTCCCATCTCCTGCAGGGAAGGTGAGCGTCCCTCTCAGGGCCAAGGGCGACGAGGGCGACGGCGAACTCTCCTTCCCCCAAACACTGGTGCCAGGCCCTCACCCCAGCGTGCTCACATGGCCGTGCGTCCCCAGCCTCCAGGGTCTCCCGTCTGACCCAGGGTCAGTGCATCGGAGCTGCTTTCCTGGCCCTCGCTGCTGGCCCACTGCCCTCCCTGGGGTGGGGGCTCCTGGCGAGTTCCAGGACTCCCGGTAGGCCTTGACCCCACGCTCCCCCTTGACCCCTGGGGGAGGCTGGACCTGTCAGCTCCAGCAGAAACTGGACGGTCAGGACCTCTGGTCACCAGACTGCAGGTGCCGGGAGCCTGAGGTCACAGGCATCCTCAGACCAGAGCTGTGAGCCTTCGGGAGTCCTCATGGTGGGACGCGGACACCGGGACCAGACCCTCTCTGCCTCTGACCTCCAACCCCGCAGGCGGTGTCACCAGCCCTGCCCACCCCTGGGGGCTACTGAACGCACACGCAGGACTCCTGGATCACCACACTCCAGCCACAAGAAACAGGGCCGCCGTCCCCAGGCCACGCCGCACCCTGCCCAGGACAAACCCAGTGGCCCGGACGGTGAGAGGGGATCCGGGGCACCGCTCCCTCCTGGGGTCCATGGAGTGTGAGAGTCCCCACCCCAGGGACAAGCACAAGCTTGGCTGCCAGGTGCTCCTCCAGCCCGAGGACCGCCTCGGGACCCAGACCACATGATGACCTCAGTGACCGCCCCTGCCGGGCACACTGTGACCACTTAGGAAACTGGACCACGGGAGGGGCTGGGCAGCACTCCTCCAGGACCCCTGGCCCCTGCGTCCACCCCGTGCCTGGCGGGAAGGAGCAGGGAGGCAGCAGGAGCTGCCGGGGTGGCCCTGGGCAGGCAGGGGTGGGAGACCAGGAACAGGTTCAGCAACAGAAGGGGACGCCCCGGGGAGGCTACGCCAGGGCCCAGGACCCTGCGGGC